TCTGCTGCAAGCCTGTCTGCTGCAAGCCCTGCTCCAGCGTGTCCCTGCTCTGCCGCCCTGTGTGCAGACCTGCCTGCTGTGTGCCCACCTCCTCCTGCTGTGCCTCCTCCTGCCAGCCCAGCTGCTGCAAGCCCTGCTCCAGCATTTCCCTGCTCTGCCACCCTGCCTGTTCCCGCCAGGCCTGCTGTGGCCTCTCCTCATGCCAGAAGTCCAGCTGCTGATGGACCCGTCTGCTCCCTGCTCATGTCCTGCTCCCCAGCCTCTTTAGTCTGCTCCTGATGTGGGATCCCCCCAGGACAGAACCCCAACATGTTCCCTACACTGACCTGACCTGACTTCCTGTCTCCCAGGAGCTCCCCCTGCACCCTGGGTCAGTGTCCCTCCTCACTGTCCCTCTGCCCTGGGCACTTGTCTTCAGCTTTAGTCCTTCCGAGTTCAGAACATCAATAAACTCTTCTCACTGCCTGAATCTCCTCTCATGCTGTGAGAAATGTGACTTAAGTCCATGTCAGTCTCTGTGACTGTGACTGTTTCCAGGAGGGAGGGACTTAGCCCTGCAATAGTGACATTGTGCTGAGCATGACACTGTGTGAAGCTGGAGCTCAGTGTCATGCTTTGCACAAAACAGAAGCATGAGATGCTGCCATGAGGGGCCCCCCACATCTGGGAAGAGTCCCCAGCATCCACAGAGGGTCCCCAGTGTCCAGTGGGTGATGGTCTCAGACTTGTGCATAGCTGGCCAAGAGAAGCTGCCGCTGGGCAAGGGATCCCCAGTAAACAGACAGTGAAACTCGTGTCTGGGGCATCTCCTGGGCGGGAAGCCTGCCTTTAGCACCTGGAGTAGTTCCCGGAGGGGAATTCCTCTGAAGGGAGTCAGAGAAATTACCTGACCTAATTTACCATCATAACACCTAAGTGAGTCCCAAGTGACCAGCCTGCTGCCACCCAGACCATCCAGACAGAGCTTGGGGGATCACAGAAACGCAGCATCCAGCTGAAGAGCCATTCAGTTTAGTAGGCACCCCAGGTGGGAAAATGTGGTCAGTAGAAGATCAACCAGTTGGTTGGGAGCCACGGTCCTCACCTATCCCACACAGCCAAGATGCTAGAGAAAGATGGAGCAATTGAGCAAAGACAGGAAGATATTTAAAGACAGAAAACCAGAGTAG